TTTACTCTTTTTCCCCAATTGAAGCAATGTGTACTAATTATCTACTACGTGAAAAACACTTTTAGAAGCTGAGAGCAATACAAAGTTTGGATAAAACATAGTTCCCTGTCCTCCTGAAGCTTACGGTTTAGTAGTGGGGATAAGACACTCATATATAATACACTGTAATACATAATTGATGCCTGCTTCCCACCTGTGGACAGATCCAGTTGCTGGGAAGTCTTTTTACATCAAGCTCAGATTTCATTCATTGTAGGTTCAGCCCATCACTCTTACCTCTACTCTCTGGAGCCAAGCAGAACAAGGGTAATCCCTACAAAATGTTACTTTTCCAAGTGTATTGTTTCCCCATCTAGTGGCCAAAAGTTAATTAGGTCCTCAATCATGTCTTTACCATAGGAGGTATTTACAGAGAAACTAAAACAAAGAGACATGTGGATAGGAGTGGGGATAATGCACAAAGCAACTTCTTAGTGAAACAGTCATAGTACAGATGTTGAAGTTATTAAGAAATGATAAGAAAGCTAATGTTTGGTTGCTAGTTTTCTCCACTGACTTTATTTCTGCTGTTCTGCTTTTTTTTTATTTCTACTGTAAGTGCTCCTTTGGCTTTAAACATCCCAAGACACATGACTTGGGGTAGGGGAGATGGGGAAAGGAAGAAGGTATTTTTAATGATCTTTTAAAACTGGATCTTTCAGAGATGACTCAGGTTTTTAGCTTAGGAGCCATTCACTATATTCTCTAGCTGGTGGGCAGCTATAGCTTCACTTATGTAGGACCCCTAAAGAGACTCTTCATCCTAGGTGCCCAAGGGATTCTCCATCCTGCCTTGATCTAGGCTCTTGATCTAGGTAGAGCACTTAGGTAAGCAGAAAAAGACAAACTAAAGAATGATGAATAATCCCCAGACAAATAGCCTTAGAGAGACCTCTAAAAGAGCAAATTCCAAAATACTCTTAATAACTGTGCTCAAGCAGCCAGCCTGAGAGGTCAGACGCTAAAGGAGCATTTATATCAGGGAAACCTGAAAAGAAGTAGGTGAGGAGGAGGCACTAACTATGATTGACAGCAATGGAAGTGGAACTTTGCCTAGAAACAATTATGAATAGTCATGTGATTTATCAATTACGGAATGATTTGTGTAAGCTATATTAATAGAGACAGCAAGGAAAGGAAGAAATAAACATTCATTAAGTGCCTACTATGTGCCAGGCACTATGACTAAGCACTTCACAAATATTATCTCATTAGATCCTCACAACAACCCTGGGAGATAGGTGCTGCAATGATCCCCATTTTGCAACTGGGGAAACTGAGGAAGATAGAGGTTAAGTGATTTGCCCGGGCTCACACAGCTAGTAAATGTCTGAGGCTAGATTTGAATTCAGGCTTTCCTAATTCTAGGTCCAGCACTCTCTCTCCCCCATAACATCTAGCTGCCTCTAGAGAGAACAGAGAACTTAATTTAATGATCCCCTGAATATCAATATCAAGTGAGCTATAAAGCAGGAATGTAAATGCTTGACAAAAGCATTCACTGCCATTTCAAAGTCATCCTGTACAAAGTCCAAAAGGAAGAAGGCTTCTCTAAAAATGATGAGATCCTTCTGATGCTTCTGTTTGCAGAAAACACTACAAGATTGTTAACACTGTCTCACCAAACCCCAGAGTACATAGGAGCTTCTTCAGTGAGATCCTTGACTATTCAAGAGTTTGAGCTAACAATCCAAATCACACTGAAGGCATTTAATGATGAGCAGTCCATTGTAGAAGTACATGTATCTTTGGCAAAGGAAAACAACGAGTTCTCCTTTTTAGGGCTGTTCCTCATGGTTAGAACAATTTTTCATCAATAAATGGATCGGTGTGGCTTGCCCTCAATTTTTTTTTTGTTTTTAATTTTCATTATTTTGATATCTATTGAAGATATGGACAGGAATTACAGGGTATTAGTCAATCAAGAAGCATCTATTTAGCACTTAACTAAATGCTAGGCATTGTGCTAGATTCTAGAAATACAATTGTTGAGGTTCAGAGGTGGGAGAGCTGGTTCAGATGTGAAAGAATTCACTTAGAACTTCTCTCTAACCATTGGAAGCTTTATTGATGCAAAAGCAGCGGGCTAGCCCTAGAAGGAGGATTAGCAACTTACAGACAGACAGGGGCCTGTTTTATTTTACAACATAAGGAGGAATTGTCATGACACAGGATGAGAGAGATGGATGACAGGATAAGGAACCCAGGATAAAGAAGACAGGGGAAATTTTATGACTCAGGATGAGGGAGACAAGGAATTTTTATGGTCCAGGATAGGGGGGAAATTTTATGGTATCTCAAGATAAGGGGAAGAGACTCTAGGATACCTTCAAGCTCAGGAGGAGCCTCACAAGGTACTGAAAAAAAACCCTTAACTTTTTTTTTTTTTTAGCTTTTAGGGCACTGTTTGTATACACATCATTTCCCCACTCAACCACAAAAGAAATCTTTCGGGAAAAGGGGCAAAAGTCATTGTCTTCAGTAGGTGCTTCCTGCTGAACAGGCGAGAAGAGTCCATTTCAAGGGCTGAGAATAGGTTGAGGAAGGATGGTCAGCATGGGAGTGCAGAATGTGGTGCCTGCTAAATCCAGGATGGAGAGAGGCAAACCACTCAGGGACACCAAGAGTACGGGTTGACATCCAAAGAGTAGAAAGTGGAATTTCTGTAGGTGAGAAGACACAAAGTGAACCAGGAGGTTAAACAAGGACAGACCAAATATAAGAACAAGTAAAATGATTAGTAACAGGGTCAGAATGGGAGAAAGAAGGGAGAGGAACCATGACCCCCAGGAGGAGATATTAGGCTAGAGTATATGTCTTGCATCCAAAAGGCTGCCTATAGTATCCTTTGAGTGTTGAGTTCTATCTTACGGGAATTATTAATGTACATACAACAAGAGGTGTTGGCTGAAGCACAAACACCTCCTTGACTATCAAGAAGATAGTCAAGAACAATACAGTTGTCCAGAACCATGTCGGCTAAGGAGTCAAGTGACTTTTTTTTAAGGTTTCTTTTTTATTTTTAATTTACTTATTTTTAGTTTTCAACATTCACTTCCACAAGATTTTGAGTTCCAAATTTTCTCCCCATCTTGTTCCTCCCCCCACCCCAAGATGGCATGCATTCTGAATACCCCTTCCCCTAATCTGCCTTCCCTTCTATCTCTCCCCCCCTTCTCTTATCCCCTTCCCCTTCAATTTTCCTGTAGGGCAGGATAGATTTCTATACGCCATTTCCTATATATTCAAGTGACTCTTGAAGCTCAGATAAGCCATGGGCTATGTCATTTGCTAGAAGTGAGACAGTGGCTGTTAGGTTTGAAAACAGGTGAGCAATTACTATGGCAGAGAGGTCTTTAGAGGAATGCTGAAAGGATAAATTTCATGCAGGGTTTTCAGGGAATGGGGGAGAGATATAGGGAGTAAGCTAGTTGACACACCCAGCAATCATGTACTCAGCCCTGCCCCACATAATTCCCTATTTGAATTAAAGCATTTGACTCCTTACTAGTCCTGGGAAAGCAGGCCTAACCTTAGGCACAGGATAGGAATCAGGAATAGGTAACAGGAGAAGTGGTTCAAAGCAGGGCCCAGAACACAGCATAGCTAGACAGCACACAGAAAAATCCACAGTGAGGAGCTTCAATGCATAGTTTTCTTTGATCACTTTTCTGGCTGGTCACACCCTACACAATGGCAAAAATTAACCTATTCCTACCCTCAAGAAGCTTACATTCAATAGGGAGAGACAATTTGTACATATAAGTACATACAGTATTATATACAAAATAAATACAAAGGGGGTGAATACAAATACAATAAATACAAAGATGGTGAAGGTACTAAGAGAAGGGGGAAAACAGGGAAGCCCTCATATAGAAGGAGGTGGTACTTGAGCTAATATCTACAGAAAAACACAGATTCTAAGAGGCAGGGGCGAGGAGGGAGTGAATTCCAGGCATGAGGGACATCCTGAGCAAAGGCATAAAGATGGGAAATTGGAAGTAATGTATCATGAGCCTGGAAAGGTAGTTTGGAGCCAAGTAGTGAAGGGCTTTCTTTCTTCCTTTCTTTCTCTCTCTTTCTTTCTTTCTTTTTTCTTTCTTTTTTCTTTCTTTCTCTCTTTCTCTCTTTCTCTCTTTCTTTCTATATTTATTTATGTATTCATTCATTCATTCATTCAATTGTTTATTTATTTTGGTGAGGCAATTGGGGTTAAGTGACTTGCCCAGAGTCAGCTAGTGAATGTTAAGTGAAGGGCTTTAAATGCCAAATAGGTGAGCTTATATTTAATTCAGGAGATAATGAGGAGCCCCTGTAACTTCTTGAACAGAGACATGATATGATCAGAATTTAGGAATAAAGATGGATTAAAAAGAGTAGAAACTGGATGCAAGAACAACAATTAGGAGGTACTTCAATATTCTTGGTGAGAAATGCTAAGGGCCTGAGGTGGGGTGGTAGTGATATGAGTGAATTAAAGGGAAAAAATGTGAGAGATGTTATAGAAGTTAGAATTTACAAGATTTGACAAATGATTAGATATGATGATTGAGGGAGAGGGAAGAGCCAAAGATAATTCTGAGGTTGTCGACCATGATGACTTGTTAGGATGGGGGTATCTTCAACAAAATAAATAAATAAATTGGGGAAAAGGATGAGTTTAAGGGGAAAGATAGTGAGTTCTCTTTTGGGCATGTTTGAAATGGCCCACAGAACATCCAATTCAAAATGTCCAATAGGCAGGATAAGGAAGATTTGGATCTGTATTGGTGAAAATAGGATAGACACCAATGAAATCATGAATCCACTGAAATAATGAAGTCACCATTAAATGTATTGTTATTCAAATAGGTGAATTTCACTCTAAGTCTTATAGTTGGGAAACCAAGGCTAGTAGCCTGCAGTGTATAGTGAGAACCTGTTCTATTTTAATTTTTTTTCCTCTTTCTTGTTTTCAGTAGTTCAATAAGTGAAGAAAATTATGATGATGTTGATATGCAATCCAATGGTAAGATATGTTATATTAACCTTGGGTTATACTTAATCACCTGACAAATCAGAAAATGTTATTGATCCCATGTTACTTTTGATTCATAAAAGCAGGTTTATAGGGAGGTAGACACGGGGTATATAGAGAAAAAATGTTTTACATAAAGATACATATTGTTGTATATATGTATATATATATAGAGAGAGAGAGAGATAACATAGATATAGATATCTAGATCTAGATCTAGATCTAGATATCTATATCTATAAGATAGATATAGATATATCTATATACATATACATATATACAACAATATGTATCTTTTTGTAAAACATTTTTTTTCTATATATCCCACGTCTATAATATATCTATATTATACATGTGATATTCACATAGCACTTTCAAGACTGATAAACTACTGGACATAGATTATCATTTTCATTAGAGTAAATATGTTCTGATTTGTTTCTAATAGCCATGCTCCACATAAACTCACAGAATATTGAATTTACCTTTCTTTCAAAGGAGACATGATGGGATCTTTTGACTTACTGGATTATTTCACAGAGGTCCCTATAAATGACTTTATATCAACTCAAATGTTCATAAAACCATTTTTTAAAAGTTCTATAGCACTTTATCTTATAATGTATTTCTATTTCTTCATTAAAACATTTCCAGAGAAAATACCTAATTTCTTTATTAAAAAAAAAATCTTGAATAATACTGACATTGTATCTAATGGTGGGGAAAGTGACAATTTTCATAAAACCATAAATTAAAACTTTATTCATTTTTGTTTGTTTCTAGATTTTGGAAATCCAGATGAGGTCGGGTCATTTGTTCATTTTTCTTTAAAAATAAACAATTCACTTATTTACTTTATATGCTTTTACTTTTTCCTGATTAAATGCAATCATAATTTTTTAAATGTTTAACAATTCAAATTTTTAAATGAATTGGATATCCTCTCAAGTTGCTATGATCCAAATATGTAAGACCAACAAGTAAGTGACCAAGTGTTTTCCATTTTCATTCCTATTTCAAAGAATCTCCCAGAATTAGGACCCACCCATCCCCACCCCTGCTTTATATTCTTTTAGGTTGGTATAACTGTACAATTGGTTATGAGTCTAGCTACATACTAGAGAGATTAGAAGGGGGAGAGGCAAGATTCTTTCATTGTTTGCTATTTCCATTCTAGCTCATGAGAAAGTATTTTAAGCAAGGCTTAAACATTCATTCTTACACTCTTTGTGTGAGTCACAATGTTTTTTAACCATTTAGTTCTCCTTCTCTTGAAATCAGTAAAAATTTACCATTAGCTATTTTTCTCTTATAGGATCAAGACAGCAATGGAGAAACATATGAAGACATGTGAGAGCTATATTTTTTTATAAATTATTCTTAAAATTAAAAAAAAAAGATAAATGCAACATCTGTGCTAGGAAACATCGGGTAACTATGCTAGAAAACCAAAAATCATTGTGTTCAAATGACTGGCATAAAGTAGGTCCATTATAACCTTTGACTCAACATGAAGGACTGAAGAGTCATGAGGGTCAGAGCAATCACATTAGAGTCAGGCAAGATCCCTCTACTACCTGGGAGAGTAGTGTTTCTCTAAGGATGGTATATAAAAAACTCTAAGAAAGGGGCAGGTAGGTGGCACAGTAGATAGAGCACTGGCCCTGGGGTCAGGAGGACCTGAGTTCAAATGTGGCCTCAGACACTTAACACTTACTAGCTGTGTGACCCTGGGCAAGTCACATAACCCCATTTCCCAGCCCTCCCCCCAAAAAAAGTCTAATAAGCTGAGTAAGAGGACATGTGGACTAATAGATAAATCACAGAACCAGGAAACAAAAAAAAAGCCAGTATTCTTTGTCATTTATTCTCTAGATAAATTTGGGGAAATCTCTCAATCTATTTGTGTCCAATTTTCCTAGTGATGAATGGTTTTTCTAGGAGGGATGCTATAAAATAACTTAAAGTTTGGTATCAAATAAAAATACATCCCTGGAGGCCACATATTGACTTAGAAAATCACAAATTAACATTATTTGTTGTATTTTTATTTATTCTGTTAAATATTTCTCAATTGCATTTTAATCTGATTCTGGCTCACTCTGGAGTTTTGCTGATCACGTGAGGCCTGCAGGCTCTGAGTTTTACCTTTATTCTGTAAAGCATCAAGGCACCAGGTTCCTATGCATTGGAAAGCAAATTATATTGGTTCCCAAATGAAATTGTAGGTAGCCCATGAAAACAAAATAGTGTTTCTTGGAAAGTAACTGAATGATGTCCAATGTGGTATTTCCTGTTATTTTAAATGTAAGTACCTTATATATTTAGTCCATCAAAGACTGATACAAAATTTCTGGACACACTAGGAAGCATGGTCCCCATATTTTTCAGTCATCTGCCTGTTAATGAGATAAGGAAGAAGGAACAGTACCTGAAGTGGTCTCCGTCCATTGACCAAGTAGCTCTCCCATATGGTAGAAAGAGCACTAGTTCTAAGTCAGAGAAACAGGGCTCCAATCCTTTCCCTGACACTTCATATCTGTGTGATTTGGGACAAGTCACTTAACTTCACTGGGATTTAGTTTCCTCATAAATAAAAATGATGGGATCAGGTGAGCTGGCCCCTAAGGTCCCTTCCTGCAAGAGCCTACAGTCTGTGTACCTCTCTTCTTCCAGGAGTCCTCTAGTATCCACACCTCCAGACTGACAGGGCCTATGAAGTGTGTGGTTAGTTGGCTCCAACTTGGCTTCATTTTCAGTATCCATGATCTGAATAACCTCTTCACCTGTGGGTAGAAAAGTAGAAAAGTTTTAGAGATAGTGACAGCTAGGCCATCAGTTCCGATGTAAGCAAGGTAAAAATATCTGTTTGCAGAGAAACAACAAAAGAACGAGAGAAGAAGAGGGATAAAGAAGAGAAGAAAAGACTAGAGCAGGAGAAGAAAGAACAAAAGGAGAAGGAAAAAAAGGAGCAAGAGATCAAGAAAAAGTTTAAAGTAAGTTCATTATTTGGTGCTTGGTAAAAAATATTTACTTTCTGAAGCTTTCTCCCAAAGTGCTTTAGGAGTGCCAGAACTAAAATGGATTGATAATTATATTCTGAAAAAAGTGGTCTCAATAATACTTCTTGGTGATGTCTCCTTTCCTAATATAGCCATGCTTGGGTTTAAGGAAACTTGTTAAAACAAAAGTATAGATGAATCATGATCTACATTACTGGATTAAACTTCTAAATTGATGAGATCACAAATCCATCTAAGGATGTGAAAAGTAAACTTTAGCATGGTAAGCTTCTCCATTAAAAAAAAAACTCTCAGTAAGTGTTTTCTGACTAAGTGAAAAAAGAAAGTCAGAATTTCCCATTGTGCTGTGTTTAGCTAAAGCCCATATTCAGGATCTCAAACTCACCCACATCCTAAGCCCAGTGTTTGCCCTGAGAAGAAATAAGTAAGAGAATTTTAACTGAGCCACACCTCAAAATTATTTTCAAGAACCCTGGAGTTGGAGTATTGAACTTGGGGTCATGGGACTTGAGTTCAAGTCCCAAATCTGTGACTTTCTACCTTTGTGATCTTAAGCAAATCATTGCATCTCTATAGGCGTCAACTTCCTCATCTATAAAATGAGAGAGATGGATAATTGATCTCTATGGTTCCTTCCAGTCCAAGAACTATGATCTCAGGAATAATGGCACCTTGACGTGATTTGCCCAGATCCCTGAACTTGGCACTCTTGCTGTACTGCAGCTTCTAATATCTGCCCCACCCCATCTCCTTTAATCTATGGTTTGTCCTTCTATATTCCTGACCTGAGGCTTTATCTGACCTCTGACCTGTGTCCTCCATGCTGCACTCTTTTAACCTTCATCTCACCTTCCTATGTTCCTGACCTGCTCTGATTTCTAATAACTGAAATCCCATATCATTCCCACAATATTGGTGTGACCAGATGTGATTATTTTAATTGAGAACTGGATCTTTATTTTACCACAAGATTCACCATAGGTACTGAAATATTAGGAAATTCTTTAGATAGACCAGTTTTCAGAATGTTACCCAGCCCATCCTAATGCTGGCAAGATGGCATCAAACTATTCAAGACACCAGTAAATCTCTATCTCAAGCTTAGATGAGGGGCATCTACTTACCTTTTCCAAATAGTTGACTACTATAACAAGAGAACCCCTCCTTTCTGCATATCCTGGCCTTCCTCTGACATTTTCAGTCCTACAGTGAGGCAGTAGAATAATGGGCTGATTACTCAGTGAAGCATAAGCTTCCTTCAGAAAACAGGTAGGGCAAATCCCCCTGAAGCCTCCAGTACTTTACATATGAGGTATTCCAAAAGCCTTAGTGCAGTTTTTAGTTATTAAAACTTAAAACTTCACTAGGACTTTTAGGATACTGTAAAGTGTAGATGCTCATTAGAGGTTTAAATATACATTGTTTTGTTTATTGATTGATGATGGGTACTAGGCAGAATCCTTAGAGCCAATAGGTTCTTTTCAGCCACTAAGCAATGCGTCCTTGTTCTTTGGGTCAATTACATCCTGGCCCAGCCTCTGGTATCTTTTGTCCCTTAATCATTGCTATATCTTGGGGAGGGAGGTAGGGAGGAGGGAGAGAAAAGTTTAAAGCTCAAAAGATTATGGAAGTGATTATTGATAAATCAAAATAAATTGATAAAAAAAATGAAAAAAAATCATTGCTGTACTCTAAATATCCCCTAGACAGGACTTATGGCTTTCGTCCTGGTTCAAGCAGATCAGAAATGGTGGATGGGATAATAAGGTGTTTGATGACTAGTCCTCCTCTTTGTATGAATTTTAATTCCTTAAAGCCCTAAAACCTAAAAGAACATGGACAACATGCTATTTCTTGCTCCTGGAAGCTAACAGGTCCTATTCAAGTGCTTCATCAAGCTAAGGCTTGCTGTGATGTCAAAGGAGGGAAGAATGAGCTGAGTGTCAAGCAAGGAGAAGAAATTGAAATAATCCGCATCACGGACAACCCTGAAGGAAAATGGTTAGGCAGAACCTCCAGAGGCACATGTGAGTCCAAAGTTCCTCTTTTTCTTCCAAATATTTTCCTTATGTTGTTATTCTCTTTGTTCTGCTTTTTTCTCCCACTGCACCATTTCGTCTAAGACGTGTCTGTTTGCATTTTGCATATCAGTCATTCCTTAGAGCTCCAATTCTGCATCCAATTCTAGTCATATACCACAAGTTATTGAATCATTCCTCAATCTTTAGGCACATGGTTTGTTTCAAAATTCTTCAAAGTGTTAAAAATAATATTGCTTTGAATATTTGTGGATAAACAGGTCCTCTCTTTTTTAGGATGGGCAGAGTGTAGAAACTGAACTTGTGATTTTGTCCATTTAGAAAACACCCAATGAGGGACTTCTACAACCATTTCAGATCCTTCTTTGCAACTTACAGTCTTAGAAAGTTGCCTAGGGAACTGAGAGGCTAAGGGACAACCAGAGTCACATAGCCAATATGTAGAAGAAGTGGGATATGAACCCAGGTCTTCCTGATTTTGAGGCCAGTCCCCTGTATACTGTGCCATGCTTCTTCTCACATCCTATCCATTTGGCACTAATCTCCTTAGGATTTAAACAAGGGGTGGGGAAGTTGCAGCCTCAGGGCCACATGTGGCCTCGAGGCTACAGGTTCCCCACCCCTGAACTCCTTAATAGGTCAGGAGGTAGCATGGTACAATGAAAAGAGCATTGATTCTGGAGTCAGAAGACCCACTTCCGGTATTTAATACCTGTGCAACCTTAAGCAAATCACCTATCCTCCCTCAATCTGGTTTCTTGCATGTAAAATAAAAGGATTGTACTAGTAGCTCCTATGATCAGAATATTTTTACAACCTCCATTAAATCCATATTAACTTCCTTCTTATGAGAAAAAAAATTCAATGCTAGATGAAAATGTAGCTCTTTTAGCACTTTGTAGGAAAGGTTACTTACATCCTGGCATTAACTAAATTTCAGCAGGACAGAGCTTTGAATTGTTTTAAAGAGAGCATCACAAAGGATGTATTTAAAAGAGAATCACAAAGCAGAGAAGTTGGTGCAACAAGAAAGATTTGGTACAGTAGGCATATCACTTCCTAGATTGTGACTTCTTAAACATAAGTTTTTCCCCCCAAATCTGTAGATGGCTATATTAAAACAACAGCAGTGGAGATCGACTATGATTCCTTGAAAAGAAAGAAAAATTCAATGAGCACTCTTCCATTGAGACCTGTGGAAGACGATCAAGAACTGTACGATGACGTTGCTGAACATGGCAGCATTAGCAGGTGTGTCTATAAGTAAATGATGACGCTACTAAGTTACTTCTGCCTGTCTGTCCTATAAACTCTGAGTTCTGGGGAAAATGTTGGCTTCTGTGTCTCCTGCTTCTCTCATTATGCTGTCCTCCAACTAGATTAAAAATAACAAGAACTTGAAAAAAAGGTTATGATCTCATTATAATAAATTCCACATTTATTTGTCATACTGTCATCTACTTATGTTGACTTTTATTTGAAAGAAGAAAACCTTTGGCCAAATTAGTAAGCTAGATGTGCCAAGATTGATCTTTTAATTATATTTGTCATGATGGGATTTGGCCTACATGCCATGGCAGCTTTGTAAGTGGAATGCAGGTACCATGGCTGTGTAGAAAAAGAGCATTCCCCTTGGAATCAGAGGACTTGTGTTTGAATCCTGTCTCAGTACTTTGTTTCAAAATCTGTCTCTTTTCATGTCTTTGGGCAAATCATGTTACAGGCCTTGGTTTTCTCCTCTGTGAAGGGATTGAACTAGATGGCCTCTGAATTCCTACTCTAAATTCATTAACTATGAAAACTTATTATTTGTATAACCACAGATGAGTCAATTAACTTCTCTGAGCTTCAGTTTCCCATCTGTAAAAAAAAAATAAAAATAAAAAAAGTTCACAGTATTTGCCCTATTTACCTCAAAGATTTGTGTGAAAAGTGTTTTATAAATAGTAAAGTGCTACCAAAATATGAATAATTATCATTGTTATCACATCAATCTGCAAACAGTTATTAAATGTATTATGAGCTGGTTATTGTGCAGGGGATACAAAGACATAAATGACACAGTCCTTGACCTCAAGGAGTTTATATTCTATAGGAGGAGACAGTATGTATGCATATGAGTATATGCAAATCACATACAAAAAAGATACAAGATAATTGGGGGAGAGAGGAGTACTAGCAGCTAGGGAAATTAGGAAAGACTTCCTATAGGAAATGTTACTTGGCTGAGCCTTGAAGGAATACAGGGATCCATAGGGGAGCAGTGAGGGGGAAATGCATTCCTGGCACAGGGAACAACCTGGGCAAAGGCCCAGAGGTGGGAAATAAAATGTCATACATAAGGAATGGCAAGCAGGCTGATTTGACTCATCCAAAGAGTGCAAGAAGGGAAATGAATAATGTATCATATTCCTGAAAAGATAGCCTGGAGCCAGGAGGTGAAGAATTTTATATGCCATCCAGAGGAACTTTGTATTTGATCCTACAGAGAATAGGGAGGCACTGGAGTCAGTTCTGCAGGAGGATAACATAGTAAGATCTGTGCTTTAGGAATAATACTGCAGCAGCTTTGTCAGACAGACAGACTACTCATCCTCTTGGCTAAACCAAATCTTTCTTTCTTTTTTTTTTTCCTGACTTGCATTCCTTGCTCCATTATTGCATCACTGATAAGTCAGTTCAAACTACCATGGCAGATGTGCACACTGGTTCCCACTCCTTTAGACTTCCCTCCTCCAATCTACCAAGGGCAGGAGTGGGCAGAGAAAGGTAGAAGGCAGGATTTCAGCCTCAGAAAGGCAATCTGGAACACCTGGGAAACTGATTCACTTGTACTGCCCTACCCCAGCCCTGTTCTAGGCAGTAAGGTGAGGTTAGGAAAAGAGAGGTCATCACAAACTTTCTCTGGTGGCAGCCACTCAGCAGTTAGGAGGCATCACTAAGGACAGGCTGGGATTCTCCATTGGGCTCAGGTGAGGGGCTCTAAGAATTTAAGCCCCAAGACTTTGTCAAGTGGAGGTCATAGTGGGTGTAGCAGGCGGAGATGAGGAAATGGTTTAGAGAAGGGAATGATTGGCTGCAGGGAGACTAATAATAATAATAATCTAATTACTTTACAAATATTATCTCAATTAATTCTCCTGGCAACCCTGGGAAGTACGTACTTCCTATTTTACAGGTAAGGAAACTGAGGCAGAGTTAACTCATACAATTAGTAAGTGTCTGAGATCACATTTGAACTCAGATCTTTCCAACTTGAGGCCCAGCACTTTGTCCACTGTGCCACCTAGCTGCCTCATATAACAGTCCAGGTGAGAAGGCCTGAATTAGGGTGGTGATCACATGAGAGGAGAGAAGGAGACATAGACAATGTGACAATGTTCACAAAATGTGACAATTTTCACAAAAATCTTGTGAAAAAAGATCTTGTGAAAGGAGAATCATCAAGACTTGGCAACTAACGAGATCTGTAAGGCAAGACAGCATTGAGGAGTCTGAGATGACTTGAAACTTGCAAACCTGAATGAGGAGAAGGATGGTGGTAACTCAAAAGTACAGGACAAGAAAAAAAAACTCTGCTCTGCAGGGTCACTTTGGCCTTTTGATACCAAAGTTCAGCTTTGTCATCCCTCCAGAATTTTAAAGGGAAACTCACAAGATTGACATTTTTTTCCCTCTTGGGTCACTCAGACCTACATGTTTTAAACATACCATTCTAAGTGTCAGCTCTTTCTTGTATGCTTTGCTTCGCTGACAACCTGAGGTGAATTTCTGCTATTTAACCAATGATGCAGCTGACCAGATTAGTAGTGTCCTGCCTTTTGTGGGGCTGGCCTCTGCCTCTCCTGCAGCTGAAGGGAGAAGTTATGACAGCTCTCTGAAATGCTCTCACATCTACCATTTAAAGTACTTTTATCCTAAGAGGATCCTAAGAGGAGGAGCTTTGTCCGCACACTTTGTGCTTGGGCACTTTGCCATTTTTTCACACATTTTGGCAATGCCATGAAGCTCTTGACTATGAAACCAATTTAAAAAAAAAACCATAGCAACTAAGGGAACCTAGCAGAAACAAGGTCCTGGAATACATCAGTTACAGTCTCCAGAAACAAGTCTCCTGTAGGATTATGACGCCTATTTTTAAAAGTCTACTTCATGATTTGTGGACATGGAGAAGTGGGGGTGGGGGGAATATAAAGTGGAAGCTCTAGCATCAGCTGCAGAGCTGTCCACTAAGTAGGTGCTGACAGACCTTCCATCCCCACCCTCTACCCCACAATGAAGCCGGAAGCTTTGGGGGAGCACAAGTCAATTTAATTGCAGGAGAAGAAAGTAGGTCCCTGGTCATTTCACTTGATATCACTTCTTCCCTTTTTCTTCCTTCTTCCCTTCCTTCTCATCCAACATCTGCCTCCCCAACTTTTCTTACTCTTGAACCTGACAATTTGCAATATGACCCCAGGGAAGTTATTCAACTTCAATGAGTTTCAGTTTTTTCATCTGAAAAATAGGAGTAATGATAATTGCATTACTTTGGGGGAGTTGTGAGGAAAGTGCTTTGTAAACAGTAAAGCATTACATAATAATAATATATTTTATATAGCTCTTTACAATTTACAAAGCATGTTCCTTGTAATAGTCTATAAAGTAGTTAGTACAAATTATGTTATCGTGGGGTTTTTTTATTTGTTTTTTACAGGGGTAAGGTATGGAAAGGTTTGGTCTAGGTCTGAGATTTCATTGATGCAGAAATTCTATTGCCAATGAGAATCAGCAATTCATCTGTGACTTAGAGTCTTAGAGGGCTGCCCAGAAGTCACTGAGAGAAGCTAAAGGATTTCCCCAAGATCACATTGCTAGTAGGTGTCAGAGGCAAGACTTGAACCCAGTGCTTTCTGAGTCCTGTCCTACTGTCCTTTCTACTACACCATGAATTTTTCTTGCTCCTTTCCTTATCCTCCCTATTCTTCTTCCCCTTTCCCTTCTTCCTCTCTTTCACCTTTTTCCCCTTTTCTTCATAATAATAATAATAACAACAACAACTAGCATTTGTATAGCACTCTAAGGTACATTTTTTTTCCTAGGATAGTTCCACCAGAAAAAGGAACCCCTTCAATTCAATTCAACAAGCATTATTTTCTCCTTGACCTGAGAACTCTGGAATTTGGTTACAACATTCCTAGGATATTCAACAATATTCAGCAAGCATTTACTAAGTGCCCATTACATTCAAGGGGCAGCTAGGTGGTGCCACAATGCACAGAGCACTGGGCCTGGAGTTGGGAAGACTCATCTTCCTGAGTTCAAGTTTGACTTCCTAGCTGTGTGACCCTGGGCAAGTCACTTAACCCTGTTTGTCTCAGGTTCCCCTTCTGGAATAGGAAATGGCAAACCACTCCAATATCTTTGACAAGAAAACCCCAAATGGGGTCACAAAGAATCAAACATTACTGAACATTATATTGGAGGCACTGCCTGCACCATGTGTTGGCAATACAAAAACAAAAATGAAAAATCCTTCCTGACCTCAAGGAACTTACTGTCTACTAATGATACAGCATATACACAGAATATCAAATAAAAAATAAGTATTTTCTAGAGGGAGAGTATTAACAACTGATAGTTTGGAAAAGACCTTTTTATTTCCTCTCTGTCATTTTGATTATTATTTAAGCTATTTAAAAGTATAAAATTATTAACAGAACCAAAACTAGGAATTCTGGTGTTTAAGGCAAATTTATTTCACATAAGAGGTCACTCTGCACTTGTTGGCATAGTCAAGCCTAGAAGGGGGATAGCCCTTTGCTCAGTGGATCTAGCCTGAGCTTCTACAGCAAGGTCAACAATCCTGACACACAATCCCCTGGGTAGAGACGGTGAAAGCAGAGAAAGAGCCAGGTTGGAATTATAGTAGAGGAATGCCACATTAACAGTTCTCTCAGAGATGGCACCAAAGGCTGAGTGAGGGATTGGAGGTGGTAAAAGACTTTGAGACATGAAAGCCATGGGCTAGCTAGAGGACCAAAAAGTGTGTCCCATTCAATTGACAACCTTTTATGCTCTAAGAAAAAAACCCTGGTTGCTGCATCCTGGCTACAGTTCTAATGCAAACCTGTAAAAAGCTCAGAACCTTTAACTTAATATGGTAAAACTTAAAAATCTCACAAGATAGATACCAACATTTAACTCAGTCTGTGTAGATGATCTAGGAGCTTTGTAATTCTTAGCATCCCCTTCTTACCACATTCCTTCCTTTACTATGGAAACTAAAGTAGATCAAGGGACTATTTTGTATTTTTCATTTTCATGGGTTACTATAGCGAAAAATAAAACAAAACAAAATTATCATGTGGTCCTCAGTCCCCTAGGAATATGTTTCACTCCTCGAGCTCTTTTATCTTGCATTAAACTTGTCAAACCATTCTCTGGCAGTTTTATCTTCCCTAGTAAATTGTCTCCTGACATATACCTTCTCTTCAGCTTATGTCAATGAATCATCCAGTATGTATCAGAACATTTGACATGTACACCAAGTTTTTCAGAACTGCAGTGGCCTTAGTAATAAGAAACACATTGACCCAATATCATGGTGTTTGGCAGTTTAGTATCTCTAATAATTTCAGTTCTTTCAGAAAAGATATGAACTGCCATATGCTGTATTTCAAAAAATTCTCAATATGAATGTTTCCTAACCAAGTATATGATTAGTGAGTACATTTTCATATATATGTAATTGATTTTTTTAATTCCCCATATTTTCTAATTTTTGTCTTTTAAAAAGCCATGTCCAAGTAAGGACTTGATAAATAAAAGCTTATTATGCTACAAGAATTCATGAATAAATAGCAAATCCATTAGAAAAGGAAATTGTTCTAAAGTTGAAGGTATTATCTAAACTTAAGTCATGCACCTTTTAAACCTTGAGGAATTTCTGATATGATGCATATGCAAAGCAGAATGGGAAAAGAGAGATGAATGCATATGAAGCTTTGAATCTGTACCACGTACTGTTTGCTTCTCCCTCAAAATACATGTATGACAGATATTACAATGTAACAAACACGTTATAGGGTTGTTATTGAGATGGGGTGCCGAGCAGGGAGGAGGGGAGCTTTTCAGAGACATGTAGCAAATAATAGAGAGAAGAGATAGAAGAACCTATTCAGTGAGTCCCCTCTTTGCTTCTTTTGTTGCTCATCAATAACAGTAATCTAGGGGAAATTTATGGCTTCATAAATCTCTCTGTGATTACAGTGCTCCTCTCTCTCCTCCCCTCCCCTCCCCTCCCCTCCCCTCTCCTCTCTCTTCTCTCCTCTCTCCTCTCTCTCTCTCTCTCTTTCTCTTTCTCTCTCTCTCTCTCTCTCTCTCTCCCTCCCCCTCCCCCCTTCCCTTTCCTCTACTTCCCTTCTCCATTCTTCCCTTCCCCCTCCCTCCTTTTATTTCTCCTGCTTAACACTTCGGGCTGGCTTAGGAAACTTGCAGGCAAAAACTCCAGGGTTTGTGAGTTCCAGGTAGAGAACATATGCTGCCTTCCCTCTCACGCCCCCTGCTGGGGAGAGTAGGAGAAGAGCCACATCGACTACTTATCCAGACTCATCTTTCCCAGTTCTTTTACCCAAATAATATCAACCCAAACGAAGATTAACACTGAGTTTTAGGGTTTTGTTTTGTCTTTGTCTTTTAAAAAATCCAACTATGGGGTAAATCATGGCACAAAAAACGATGCGTAAGTGGAAAGGGAAGCATGAAGGGCTTGCCAGCACAGTCCATTAGAAATATAACAGGAAAGGGGCAGTTAGGTGTCGCAGTGGATAAAGCACTGACCCTGAAGTCAGGAGGACCTGAGTTCAAATCCGGCCGCAGACCAAACACTTGACACTAGCTGTGTGACCCTGGGCAACTCACTTAACCCCAATTGCTATTAAGAAAGAAAGAAAGAAAGAAAGAAAGAAAGAAAGAAAGAAAGAAAGAAAGAAAGA